CAAGACCTTCAGGTGAGCTGGTGGTGGTGGTTGCCTTGCTTATAATAAAACGGAATGGTAGCATGAATGGAGACAATTCTTGTTGCATTTAGTATAGCACCTTGAATGCACTTGAGATATGCTTTTTGTTTGTTTGTTTTACAGCAAGAAATAAAGTCAAAAGACATGCAGTGCAAGGAACAAGAGGAAAGAATCAAAGCATTGGAAGAACACACTGAGAAGCTTAAAAACCTTGTAGAAGAGTTAGAAAGGGAGAAAAGAGATGTGCCCATTTTAGTAGTAAGCCTGAATCATCTTAATTTATTAATACTGTATTAATTAAATGATCCATTTAAAGCATATATTTGTGTGCTTGAAGTTTAGATCCTTTCCTTACATGACTAGTGAACATTCTTACGATGAGGAGCTACCTAGAATGGTAGTTACTTCCCTATTGCCTTCTCTATCCTATCAAGTCATACTCGTTTCTTGACAACGCAAAGGAAGTTGTGGAAGAGGTCCGCAAGCTGCTGTTAAGGGCTCTAGTCAGTTTCCCTGAGTGGAGAATGCTCGATACTTCTCTGTGGCTAAACATGCATCACTGACCAAGATGGGTGGGAAGAGATGTGAAATCACAAGTTGTGATTATCTCATTGGCCTGATTCACACAGAGGGATCATGCTACGCTACAATGTGATTTGTTTGGTTTTGCATTAGCGTACTGCATGAACCTCGCAAATAGTTCCTTATTCAGCAAACCATGATTAAGAAAATCATGGTTTACCATAATGCCTAAACCTAGTCACAGAGGAACATGTACTGCCTTTTCCAAGTAGCCATTAGAGCCGGTATTACCAGTGCTCAGCATTCATTGTCCACTTAGCAGTCCTGGGGCAACTTTGTAAATGTACAGTATTTTTTGGCAGAAAATTCTCTATAAATCTGCTACGTGATTTTTTCATATAAATACAACCGCATGGGTTAGCATAGTTTTACGGCTGGACGATACACTTCTAAAGTGGTTTCAGCTTTCGGAGTTGTAGAGGTGACCCATCACTTCACCAAAGAATGACAATTTTTGCTGATATTTTTGCCCTGTTTTGAGATAGCTGAAGTGGCAAAATGGAGCCAGTTGGGCATAATATGTTTTACCTCTTATTCTGGAAAATTAACTTCATCGTGATGTGGAGACCACAAAAATAGATTTATGAATCATCTGCTTTGACCTTCCTGGCTATGACACACCAACCTTACAAAATAATTCATTTTCATTTTTCCTTGATTCCTAGAATATTTATCTCTATTTATACCACACTATTATAATCTTCATTCTTGCAGCAAACTCCAAGCAAAAACTTGGATGAAACGCAGCAGTTAAAGCAGTCTCTCAGAGATGCTGAAGCAGTTGCCCTGGATGCCAAGAAAGAATCTGCATTCCTCCGAAGTGAAAATCTAGCACTAAAAGAAAAAATGGTAAAAAAAAAAGAATTAAAATAGTAGAATTATCTGCTGAAAATCAGTTCTATGTTTAAAAAAAAACTTCAGAACTCCAGAACAAGTCTGTTTGTAAAGTGGCTATCTGTTTCTCATTAGAAGGCTGCTATGCAAATGGCAAGTGAACTGAAAAATTTTGGGGCATCTTCCCTCAGGATCTGGGGTAGATGCAGAAGAAGATAAAAACTTTAAGAAGCCTATTGAAGTAGAGATTTACGTTTAAGATCTCATCTTGTAGATTATGCTGGTTTCCTGGAAGGAATCCAGTGACAATTTCAGGGGGGCAGGGGGTGAGGCAATGTTGCCTAAGGTGGTTTTCCTATAAGCTGGAAAGGGGAGAGCACAGACCTACTATGACAACGGCCCTCGGGTATACAAGCAAGGACTCCACAGTATACTAGCTTGCTCTAAATCGCAAATATGCACTTGGATGTTCATGGGTTGAATAATACTATGCTAACTTATTCCCCCATAGAACCAGCTCTCAGATACTTACACTCAAATGGAAAAAGATCTTGGATGCTACAAGAGCCAGTTAGAAGCTGGAAAAGTCACCTATAAAAAAATGCAATCTGATCTGCAGAAAGAACTGCAATACTACGTGCAAGAAAACGCAAAGCTGGAATCACTTGTGAAGGTTAACGATTCAAAAGGTACTGTTCCCAGGAACTGGCTGCCCTGTCCTTTAGAAAACCCAGGGTTGTTCTGGATGCCAAAAAGCTGGAGAAGGTTTTATGACCTTCATAAGTCAGTAGCATGCTGGTAGGAATTCTGGGACTTGTAGTCCCATTACATCTGGAGAGTACCTCAGATTGGAAAAGGTTGCCCTAATTTAAGCTCCAGTGTTTCAGGAAAGCTTTTGAGAAGTGGGGATGGGAAGGTGTCTTATTTTTTCCGCTCTGTTGCTTTATTTTTGTCTTTTAAGATTGTTTGTTTTGCTTTGTTTTTACAGTTTGTTCTTGTACACGGTTTGGGCCTGCTGCCCCCCTCTAAAGTGAGATTTTTAAAAATCTGATGAAGTAGATATCTTAGTCTTTTTTAATGAAACCAGCAAAAGGGTTTGTGGCATTTTAAAGCTTATCAGATATATTATAAGTTTTCATGCACCTCATGGAAACATTTAATTTGGCTGCAGTATCTCTGTCCACAGAACCATTGCAGCTGCAGTGAAAAATATTCTGAGGTATTTTTCCTCCTAAAATGGGTTGTATGCCGAAAGGACACTCACATCCAATTTGTACCTACCTTCCTGTACTTAATGAAAAGGATATAACTGCTGCTTTGAGGTTTCAAAATGTAAAATTAGGTTTAAAAAGTAGAAGTCATAACAGTAGAATGGGAGTGAAGCTCAAAAGAAGAAAGGAAGCTGCAAAGCTGAGAGAAAAGGAGCAGAGAGGAAATAAGCCAGACTGTATGAGCAGCAAAACCTTACTTTTCAAGGATGCAAGGGAGAGGGACTTTGTTTGTTTATTTAAAACATTTCTATAGCTGCCCATCTTATATCAAACCCTTCTGGGCAGCTCCCAACCAACAGTTAAAACAACATCAATATACCATTAATACTTACATACAGGTAGTCCTCACTTAATGACCACAATAGGGATCAGACAATTGGTCATTAAGCAGGGTGGTTAAGCGAGTCACCACATGACGACCCAATTTTACGACCATTTTTATGATGGTCGTTAAGCGCATCACTGTCATTAAGCAAATCACATGGTTGTTAAATGAATCCAGCTTCTCCAATGAACATTTTTTGCCAGAATTTGCTTAACGACCATGGTGATTCGCTTAATAACCGCAGTGATTTGCTTAATAACCATTGTAAAAAAGGCTGCAAATCATGATCATGTGACCACAAGGGGTGGTGCAACGGTTTGCAACAGTCGTAAGTGCGAGTACAGGTTGTAAAGCACTTTATCTGAGGCTGTTGTAACTTTGAACCATAGTTAAACAAATGATTGTTAAGTGAGGACTACCTTTATATCTATTAAAACTTGGCATCAAGTTAAACTTTCACATACAATCCATAACTACATCCTCTCCTCAATTTCACTCTATCCCAGCACTTGGGGGGAAAAGCCAGGTCTTAAGTGCTTTTTGGAAGGCTAGAAGGGTGGGGGCCTGCTGAATTTCAGGGAGAAGGGTGTTCCATAGAGTATGGGCTGCCACAGAAAAGACATGCTTTCTAGATCCCATAAGATGGCAATGTTTAAGGGAAGGGGCTAGGAGCATGCCCTGATCTGGTAGTACGGGTAGATGTCCTTGGGGGGGGCGGTCCTGCAGATAACCTGACCAGATGTTTTGTTGTTTTCTGTTTCTTTCAGCATTGTCATTTGCAAAACTCAGGATATAAATTACTCTGTACTTTAGCAAGGAATTTCACTGCAGCCAAAATGTACAAAGAATAAGAACTGGGGCTGTAGCTCA